ACATGTGTGTATCCTGTATCCTTTGGCTAATCACTGAATCCGTAAACCGCCTAAACCCCCCTTGGGTATTCAAAGGCCGCGAAAGGTTTTTTCGAGCTGTAGGGCTTTAGGTTTCAGTTTAGGGTTTAGGGTTTAGGGTTTAGGGTTTAGGGTTTAGGGTTTAGGGTTTAGGGTTTAGGGTAAGGTCTTAAGGGATTTCAGGCTTGTGGTGGCCCGGGCTTTAGTAGTGTTTGGGGTCTTAGGGTTTGGGATCGGGTGTATTAGCAATAGCTGAGACAAGATCGTGTATTGAAGTTCTATGATGTAGTCAGTATCTAGTGTCACCTCACGTATGAGACAATCTTCCCACATATGGTAGGCTGTCATGAGATGTGCTTGATTCCCTAAACTCTCAACCCTAAACCCTCAACCCGAAGCCCCAAACCTTACACCCTAATCTAAACCCTCAAACCTAGTGATCTATCCCAGCAACTCTTCCTAGCCAGCCTTGTCTTCCTCACCGCTGCTGCAACGGGCACTTCAAACCTTGAGGTTTCGGTGGCCTTAAACCCTAAACCCTAAACCCTTAAATCTGAAGCGCTAGGCTGCTAGGCCTCAACGCAGAGCCACCTGCTCCCAGGATGATAGGTTCGGGTTTAGGGTTAGGGTTTAGGGTTTAGGGTTGCTGAGTGCAGGAGGCAATGTCGACCGGCTTGTACGTCAATGGCTCTACCCCGAGTTCACGGCCGCTAGGTGCGGCGTTGGATCTAGGATGGGGGAGCCAATCAATGTGGAAACCTGATAATTACCAACACTATTCCTTGGGGCTCCTTGTTATTAGTGTACAAAAATGTACCCGAAACCCTATTCTGAATACTGAGGCCCTTGTATTAGGCTTTTGGTTTGAGCTCGTGCATGGTTGCCATAATCCAAACCAGACCTACTCCTTAAACCTTCCTCCCTAGCCGAATCATGTCCGACTTATCTCCCTAAGCCCTAAACCCTATTCAATGTCAACTTCCGATCCTCTAAGTGACGTCTTGTTTTGACATAGCTGCGTGTATGCATACATGCATAGATGCCGTTGAGGTAGCGCTGGGCGCACTTGCGTTGAACGGTACTCACAGACGTTTGTCTTGGTGTTAGAATGTATCTATCTGTCTGTCTGCCTGCATCTCTTTCTGTCTCTTTGTCTGCCTCTCTGTCTGTCCGTCTGTCCCTCTGTCCGTCTGTCCGTCTGTCCGTCTGTCCGTCTGTCTGTCTGTCCGTCTGTCCGTCTGTCCGTCTGTCCGTCTGTCCGTCTGTCCGTCTGTCTGTCTGTCTGTCTGTCTGTCCGTCTGTCCGTCTGTCCGTCTGTCCGTCCGTCCGTCCGTCTGTCTGTCT